GTTCTAAACGGGATCCCTATCGTCAGCATCTACAAATCCGATGAGGAGAACCCACCGCGTCGTAGAACGTGCCTTCCGGTCTCGCAGTTCCCCCGCTGCAGTCGACGAAGGTGAAGAGGAGAGACGAAGTCGAGTGACTGACGAGGGAATGACGAAGCCGTTGACATGACCGATGACGGCGGCGCCGACGAGGAAGGACAGAGCCGGGACCGACGGATGCAAGAAGAGTCACTCGTTAGATCGAATGATACAAGTCATCCAGTCGAACATGTTTCTCAACTTGCGACCGCGATGAATCCCAAGAACGACCACTGGAGGAAAATTATGCGAGAAGGAGGCCTTGTTCCACTGAAGGAGATATGAATCTGAGAGCACTAGCCGGAGGCGAAGACGTTGCCAGCGAGTCTTCATGGAAGGAAGTGAAAAGACGCTCCCGCCGCAAGGTGCAAGCCTTGAGGGGGAACAAAGGAGGATCCGACGAGGAAGAAGTTGAAGGGATCAAACTGGGAGTCGAAGACTTCGTCTTCTACAGAGTCCTCGTGGGAAAGGCAGAGATGGAATTTGGGGGATCGTTCCCTTGGCCTGCTTCATATCTATGCTCGTGGGTCTGGCTGCGACGAGGCTCGCCTTGACCGTAGTGGAACGAGCCCTGTCGGCTCCCCTTTTCTCCCTCTCTCTCGGCACGATCACGTATTTCTCTTGTGGCCATGCCCTTCAGGGCATGACTCTTGCCTTTGCCACGTCCCAGACCTACATCTGAACCCAGCGGAACACAATGTTCACTGTGTTCGGAAATTTCATACTTGACAACAAAACTTTGGATTCTTAATAATATGAACGTCCATAATCGCAATTGCATATCTGCGAAATAAATTTTTTAAATACAATGTGAAGCCAAAAAATTACTGTGGCACAGCCCTTTCATCTTTCCAGGGGCAGAATTGCAATACTGAATGAATAGCTACATTTATTCTCTACCTGAGTGAATTTTCAACTTTTCATCAAATGAAAAAAAAATTACGAACTTTTAAAGTATAATTGGCTGAATAAACAGATTAAATATGACTAATTTTGCAAAAGGAGGAACAAGGAGTTATTATTACATTTTTTACCCAAAAGACGATCATGCTGTCAGCATCAATAAGCAGTTTGAAGAAGTCGGCGGAAGTAAGGGGGACAGCTATTTCTACCTCGCGGGGAAAATTAACAATACTAATTCAACAATGATTCGATAACACTACATAAAAAGAATTTAAAGAAAAAATAACATTAGAAAAATTAACATGAAGTTTCACACGGGTATAGAAGAAACATGGCTATTAAAGACCTTAGCATTGCAATGCTGTTCCTGGAAGGATGAAGTCACAGTGCCGCAGTCATCAATAATTCTTCCAGAGCTCGTTATAGCTTTTGCATATTCTAGAATAAGAGAAAGAAGGAAACGAGGATGTTTCCCTACCTTCTTACTTTGAAATACCATATCTAACCTGAAATAAGGATAGATAGCTATGATAAAGGACTATAAGAATCCCAAGCAACACATACATCAACAGTAAATGACGTCTATGAGACGTTACGAGGAGGAATGGTTCTTCTAGCAAGTTGATCCCATTGACCCCAACCTTTTCGCCTCAAACCGTCTGAGATAAGGAAAAGCGTTGTGATCAGTGTCAGCTGAGTCTCACTTCTTTGGAGAAGACATCGATAGCAGAAAATTAAAGAGCTCAAGGGAACTTGAAGGTCTTATTAGGGGTTACGGGTTAAGGGATTATGTCCGCGATGAGTTGGGCTTAAATGGAGCTGATCCTAGAAAGAGATTACTACTTCACAGAAAGATCAAAGATCGTCCTCGCTGATATAATATCTGTACCTTGCCCACATAAGGCGTCGAGCAAAATAGAAAATCATCGGAGATGAGGCAGGGTTTATCCAAAAGGTGGAAAATGTGCCAAACGACAGATCCTTATTATCTCCCCGAAATGCGTAATAGATGTAACTTCACCTTTTCCTAGATTTCATTCCTTGGGGAAAGTTGGCTTACGATTGACTTATTTTCGGGTGTCCAACGGAGAACTACAGTCGATCCGGTGAAGGGCCAACCGGACATCCCCGACTATATGCTGTCTTTAGCCATTTCAAAGCCGATCATCGACCAGTGATAGCCCAGCTACGACTCATGCCCGAATCAACTATAAGCCATTAATGGCCTCCTGAAAAAAAATCAGTCGACAGCCCCTGTCCCCTGCCCAGCCCCTGCTGTGAGCCCGAGTGACCTGATATTCTACCGGGAGAGCTCGTCGCGCAGGCTGCGTATCATCTGTCTCTTGGGATTTAAGGTGCCGCCCGGTTTATGTTTTTAAGCTGCCCACAACTAAAGTAGTACTAAAACTACTTTTCATGTTTAACCCTTAAACCGGTGCCCATTTGAATGAATGTAATAAAAGGTTTTTGAAATTGAAGATTGGGTATGTTCGCTCAAAATTGTTTAGACATTCGGATACTTATAATTACATGATTTTACACATGAAATCGCATTAAAAACAAATTTAAAATTCGAGATTTTATGTATTTTAGCGCGCACCACCTGAACTTGCCTAAAATTTGGAGAATTCAAATATTGCAAAGAAAAATGTATTACATAACAAGTAAATTACCAAAAGCAAGAGAAAAAAGGAATACGTATCGAAATTACAACCTGTAAGAAAGTAGCGCCCAGAACCGGTACTTTAAAATGAACCCTGACTCCTAGTGACGGCAATTTCGGTGACTACGAGAGAACCAAGAGTGTGTAATTCCGAAAGGCATAGCCAATATTCGATTTGCCGCTCATCTTTATATTATAAGTGAGATTTCCCGACTTGAAGTAGCTTCACCTGGAAGTCGAGTGGTCAGTTAAAGGGTCAACATCACTGAAATGTTGGATTTTTTCCCAATGATGCTCACTCCAAGTCGACCAAAGTATCCGCGTGGCCCACTAAAGGTGGACAAAAGTATCCCTATGGCCCTCACTTTCCCAGCCAAATCTTTACGTCCTAACTCGCCATGGCCATCAGTCACGACGACAGGGAACTTGCGTATGCGTTCCACGAACGGTGCAAAATGTCACTTTTGAGGAGATTCCATATCCAAATAGGAGGGAGGAGGGAAACCGCACCTGTCACACGACGTCATTGCTCGGTAGTGACGTCATCCAAGTTTCCAGTGGCTTTACGTAATTATAATGCGGTTTGCGGCATTTGAAAGAGGAATGACTTAGTTTTAAAGTGGTGTATCTTCAAATGCATTCCAAAGTTTCAGAAATTCGGAAGCTCATGTGTAGCAGCATTTTTTGTGGCAGCGGGATTGGACAGGCTTTGGCTGGGGGTCACATGCCGTCCAAGTCCGAGTGTGCGGCAACGCCGTTTTTCTTTCTTTTTCATATGAGCTCCTGAATTGAAAAAAACTATGGGAGATATTCGAAACGTAAGTACACCATTTTAAAGCTTATTCGTCCCTCCGCAAAAAGAATTGAAATATATGCACTGAGTGTAGCGTAGTGCATAGTAGATATTTTATTCGACCGACCCTGTATGTCACCATTTGCGGGCGTCCACCATCTCCGTCAACGCGTCTTCGTCCTCGTCCTCCGAGACCTCGTTGTCGTCCTCTGCTTCTATCATCTCCCAGAGGTCGTGGCTTAATCGGTTGAAAAGAGGTCTTATCGAGGCGGATGAATCACCGACGTCCTCGAGTACGATGCTTTAATGGCGAAGGTGATGGTCAAGGATGGCAAGAGCGAATCGTAACAGATGCATTCGGCACCTAGAATATCATATCATCAGCATGTTTGTAGATGTGCACACGAGTCTACATTGCAGTGAACAAAAAGGACCAAAGAAAAGGAAGTCGCAGGAAAGAGTGACGGTCTTTGAATACGACCCTTTGTATTTTTTGTTTGTGTCCTGTGGTCTAAGAATGAAGTAAGCCATCGAATGAGAACAGGGTCAACACCGAGACCAAACAACTTTTGCTAAACCGAGATGTGGTCTACAGTGTCGAGGTCTTCACTGAAGGCAGTAAATAGGCTTGTCACGGCTCGAGGGCGTGGGAGTGGATTAAGCTTAAGAAATCCACCGGTCTGTCGCGGGCAGTCCTTTGCGGTTGCCATACGGTGAGGTGTGAAAAGTATTTATCGCTCTTATCCGTTTCGAGGTGATCCTATTTTATAAGAAAGGCAGTTTAGCGAGGCGGAAATCGCCAAAACCCTCCAGTTATTGTTTCTTCGAACTCAAGACGATCGTTGCAGATTTTATCGAATCAGGCACTTGCTTCGACTCGAATGACAGATGTCCGAGAGAGGAGCTGCGGAGCTCCGGGGAAAAGTCTTTATAGATCCGAATTGGAATCTGAGCCAGGTGAAGATGAAGCCTTTTCTCCGTTTCTCGAGTACTTCCGATGGGGAAACGAGAGAAGGTTGAGGGCAGAACTCAAGGGGGAGGGGGGGGGCTTGCATGGTTTCGAAAGGATTAATGATGTCGGGAACGGTGGCCTCGTGGCCTGCTGCTTCGAGTATCCCAGGGAAATTGGGGTCATTGAGAGGAACGAAGCGCATCCACTTAATTATCATGTGTCTTTTCTTCGGGACCGTCATGAAAGAATTTTAGTTTTGCTGCACGAATGTTGCGTCCGACTAAATTAGCCAAGAAGTGATACTCTCCTTGTCTACCAGAATATATAGACGAACAAGATGCTCGATATTGCTATGTTTGATAGTTGAGGCGGATCCTCGTTCGAAACGGATGGCTGCGTGTCCTCATGATAGGGGATGAATTCGTTCACCCCTGACCCTTGACCTCTGACTCCTGATGCGACAAGTTGATCCTATTTGTTTTTCTATTGAAATCGGTGTGCTTCATTCTATTGCGATGATGCAAGTAAGATCATGCTTTTGGTTTCCAGGAAGGTTTATGGAAGAACCACAAAATTGTGAAGCAGAGAAAGGATGCGAAAACGTTTGGAGATTACTTATTTTTCTCGAAAAGTTTTCCCTGCACAAATTATTTAAATAAAATTAAAAGTTGAGCACTGTAATCAGGGACTTGTAAGGGCGAAAGATCCATCCACGATACGTTACTTTGATTGGTAGCCAACAACGCATTTCTGAATGTCCAAATTTAATCAGCTTTCATTGAAATCTCGAAAAATAATTGTAGAATGAATAAAAGTACTCATGATTACCATAACCATAAACGTTTTTGTGCCATAAATTCAGTTACCACATGCGAGCATTAAAACTAATTTGTTTGCCATTAAATGTGAGAATAATTGTATATTTTATCTATCCAGCATTTAGGAACTAGACGCAGATCAATGCGTACTAATCGCCGATTAAATTGTAGGTAAATATACATTTTTTCTGGTGGCTTCAAGCAGTTTAGATGAATAAATATGAGGCTATCATTATTAAGTCCTGCTTCCAAAATGTTCGTTCGGAGAATGAAATAGTTCCAGTCATATATATATTCTTAAAAAAAAAAAATTCATAATGAAATAATATTATGAATATCAGTTTCTGACGAAAAGTCGCTGAAGGCTATTAAATATCTTGCTTCGAACGAAAACAATCAAGTAAATTTGAGGGTAGTTGAATTATTGTTTTGCCGCGACTGTCACGATGCACACCAAACTTGAAAAACGACATCTGGGATCCCTGGTATCCATCAAGAGTGCAATTCTTATTTCTCAATGAATACCGATACTGATTTATAACATTTTGGGAGAAATGTTATAAATACGTTGAAACTGAAGCTTCATGAATGAAGCTGAAGCTGAGCATTAAGTAAAGTCGTTCCAGGACCATAGAAATTAATATTCCCTAGTATCTTCATGAACACAACCATCGCACCAAATTTGGTCAAAATCGGAGAGATGACCCAGAAAAAAAATCAGAGGGTGCAGAATTGCTTTCATTCTTAACAAAAGTATACCACGATGCAGTTATTTAACGTAGTACACGTGAAACAGCCGTCCTCCATATGCAGAGAGAGCGTGCAAGACAAAGAAGACGTTCGAGGAACGTCTGCTTTTTGGGTCTGGACAGGAATGCGACGCGCTGGGCCACTTCCGAAAGGCCCTCTTCCTCGTTCTTGGTCTCCTCGTATATCTCACAGTCTTCGCCATGGACCTCGTGTTGCCTTTCGTTCAACGGGAACGTCTCTTGCCCCTACCATAGATTAGGGAAAGCTTTCGGAAGATCCGAAGGATTCAAATTTAAAATTTCCGTAATCGTGTACGCATCACAGTTCGCCGAAGGAACCAAGTGTAGTCGCCACAAAGGAGAGAGGAATTTAAAATTACCCTAACTTGAAGAAACGAGTATGATGAAAGATGGCAAAAGGTTGACTGCTTTCGACATCTGTGTGCAGTTTTGGCAACTACTGTTTCTTCGCTCCGATACTAGAGTATATTAGAGTATGGTTTTTTTTTGTTAATTCTGCTTCGTATCCACATGGTTGCCGCCAAGAGTGTAAAGCTAGTCCTAGATTTGTGCCTGCTGGTCGGGACCGTGTTAGTGTTAATGAGACGACTCGGGTGACCGTGCTACAGGCTGTCAAGCCTCAACCTGCCCTACCCCTGCTTACGTTTAAGCCTTGTTTCCTTTTTTCTATTGGCTTGATTGCAAGGAAGTTCTTCCATTCATTTTTACTAGGCTGGTGCTGCAGCTTGCTGGTCTTTTCTTGCTAAGCGATGGCGAACCCGATTAAGAAGGAGGACATGAAGTTCCTCGAGTACCCCAATTCCGCGCAGGAAATCATGGGGGCTATGGTCTGTGCTTTCCCACTAGATCAGCATAGGCCTAGGTCTAATCCGTGTATAATGCATAATGATAGGCCTTGACGTTGTACATCTTTCACTCCATATGCATCTTTAACAATAGTCTCTATCAGTCGATCTTCATCTTACTATCTCTTCCTCGTATTTTTAATCAGTTAAAATAAATGTGGGGATGGGGAGAAAGGAGATTCAGTCATGACAATAGTATCCATTTATTATCTCTATTGGGTAACTCAGATGAGCATGGTTGAAGAGAGGAAACAGTAGTGTGGACTTGGAAGGTGGAAGATGCAATCTAGGTGAAGGGAGTGAGGGATGTGCAAGAAATTCACCAAAAACAATAATCTAAGTCGTAGCTGGTTATGAATTACTCGTAATTAAGTTTTTTGTGCTGTAGGTGGAAGGGAAGCTGAAGATGACAGACCAGGCAATCATCTTCAAGAATGGAAAGACAGGGAAGGTGGACCATATCACAATGAATGAAATTGATCTCCTGAATTGGCAACGTCTTGCAGGCAATTGGGGACTTCGCGTTTTCCTGAAGAATGGCCACTTGCATCGATTTGGGGGATTCAAAGAGACTGTGAGTGAAATTGGATGCATGAATTGGTGTTTCATAGGTAGTTGCAGGTCTATATCAATGGAGCTAACTTCAATTATCACCATTGCAGGTCCTCACCATCTTTATAGGTGCTCCTTAGGCTGTGATTTTATTTAAAGTGAATAAATTTCCATATTCCTAAACTCACTGTTTGTCTATGTATCTTGTGGTTAGTCAGCCTAGATATGAATAGTCCATTTTTGAAAATTTTCACATATGAAGCCTTGCTTGCCCAGACTGTTGTGATACTTCTGCTGAGGGAAAACTGTTACCAGTGAGAGGGGGTTGAAGGAGAAATTGCTCCACCACTTCTTACTTAAACTTCTTGAAATCATGGGTGCATTCAATTATTGTGAAGTCACTGATTTGGAAAGACTAATTATGAATTAGTCAACTAGTGAACTATGGCCAATGTCATATATATCCCATTCCATCTAATGTGGTGTGTTCATTATCATAATTGTTATCCTGTTCAGTATTTTGAAAACATCAGTTAGATTTGTAATTTCTTCATGTATTGGCTGTACTTGATATTTGTTTTCATGTCCAAGTATTGAATCTGAAATTTAACATTACTACCCTTAGGACAAGGATCACCTGGCCCAGTTCTTTCGGAACTACTACAACAAAGAATTGGCAGATCGAGAGCTGAGTGTAAAAGGCTGGAACTGGGGAACAGCACGGTTCAAAGGTGGAGTGATGAGTTTTGATGTGTCCAGTGCCACTGCCTTTGAGATCCCCTTGCCCAATGTGTCTCAGTGTATGACTGGGAAGAATGAAGTCACCCTTGAATTCCATCAGGTCCATATGTTAAGCCTACTATTCTCTGGTCTATTGCTCTGTATTAGATTGCATATTAGTGTGTCCTCAATGGGAATAATTTTTTGCAGAATGATGAAGCTCCTGTAAGCCTGATGGAGATGAGATTCCACATTCCATCATCAGAGTTAGCTGGAGATACTGATCCTGTGGATGCCTTCAAGGACCAGGTTAGTCTGGCATACACTAATTTTTCCTTTGTAATGCATGAAAATTAAAAGATATTTTCAACTGGAAGCACATTGTGAGAAGGAAACTCAGATTTGAATAAAATTAGGAAGGAAAGTATCAATTGAGTTCTAAAAAATCTAAGCTGAAAATATTTTTTCTTGCAAAAATTCTATTATTCCTTTCAAAAATAATTTTGTTGATGTTATTGAAAACAAAGACTTATGAAACTGTAAAAACTTATTTCTTGTCATGGCCCCAGGTGATGAAGCAGGCTAGTGTGATCACAGCCACAGGGGATGCCATAGCCACCTTCAAAGAAGTTCAGTGTCTCCTGCCCAGGTAAGAGTGAGATTCCTGTGCAGCTAAGAAAAGACTTGGTTTGTTGATGCTTTTCAAATGTTAAAAGAATTGCATCTTTCTGCAGAGGTCGATATGACATCAAGCTTTACCAGACATCCATACAGTTGCATGGGAAGGCATATGATTACAAGATCTCCACCAACTCTGTCCTTCGTCTCTTCCTCCTTCCCAATAAGGACCAGATGTTTTATGTTGTGAGTCACAATGATCCATTTACCTAAAGCTATGAGAATTTCCATTTGTTCTTATGTTTAGTAAGTAAAAATACATATGATCTTAACTTCATTTCAGGTGTGCCTAAAATTTATCAGAAATAATGGAACATCTAGTGGAAGTACTTATCCTGTAAGGGATATATTGAGTAATGGCATAGTGATTATTAGGACCTAGATTTGCATGGTAATATATGACTTTCTTGCTAGAGAACTACACAACAAGCTATTCATGGAACTGAGTCACATGTTAAAACTGAAAAGTAAATGTATTGTATACTTTTTTGGGAGAGTGCATATTTTGCCTGCCATATTATTGTTCTATATTAGAATGAAATGAATATTGTCATATATTTTAAGAGCCTCACTTAATCATCCCATATATTTCATCAAAAAGTAAAAGCTATCAATCTGCTGTCAGTGATAAGGTAATGAGTCACTTTGAGTACATCAATGACTCACCCTAGGTTTGAAAAGAAAACATTGCACATGAATTCTGATTTTTGCATTATTATAGAATCTTTCTTATAAATGGACCAATTGCAAATCCATGTAAAACAAGGCAGTAGTGATTGCTAAAATAGCTGGGGAATCATTCTTAGCAGAAGGAAAAAAATTATGATAATTTTTTTCCTGAAACATTTTCAAATAGTTAGAATATTTTACTTGCAATGTCATGACTCCAAACTCTACCAATACAATTTTTCATTATTGCAATGAAGGTACCATAATTGACCAGCACTGCTGCTGGTAGGCCTTATATATTTTGGGGAGTATTTATTGGTTTGAGAATGTGATGCAATGAAGTTTTTTAGTTTAGTGAATACTCAATTTTTACTGCCTTTAGGTGAGCCTGGATCCACCAATCAAGCAGGGTCAAACACGCTACCACTTCCTCATCCTTCAATTCCCCCAAGATTCTGAGAAGACTATTGAGATTCCACTGTCTGAGTAAGAGTCATGATTTACTTACTAGGCCTGCTGTGATTAAAGATGACAGGTGTTAGGCATTCATTATGCCTGGCTGTGTGAATTAGGGGTGAAAAGTCTGTATAGAAAGTGCCCCACAGTTTATTTCTCATATAAGTTTAGTTTGTGAGAGGCTTTTCATGTACATAAAGCCAATGAATAATTCAAGGAAAAAGCAATACCTAGTTCTACCTGTGACATCAATTCAGTGGTGACCTGTGTTTGCCATTTGACATTGCAGCTTTTAACAAACAGTCATCATTCAGTCCTTGCATCTTGTAAAGACAGCTGACTTGTGTACAGGATTTTTCCATGCTTATTTGAATATGCATAAAACATCAAGTTCAATTTGTATTTTGCTGCCAAATGGCTCTTAGCCATTTGAAGCCTGAAGCCCAAGGTGTCAATATAGCTCAGCTCTTCATATTCACACTAAAATCTACAAGGTATCAATCTATCAGTATTTGTTTTATGTGCTAATAGTTGCCTTAGATTTAGAAGGATTTTTAAAATAACACTGCAATTTGGTATAAAACTAGCTTGAGAAATTATGCATATACTACTTAGGTTTGGGAGTGAAAGGGTTAATTCCCCCTTTTTTTTTTTTTTACTTGTTCAAGTTTGTCTGAACATATCCCAGCCAAATTAACCACTGAGACCATATTGATTTATTTATATATATATATCCATGAAAAGGAAACTAGCTTGCAGTATTAAAGTACTTCCTTTTGATCAAACTTTCCTTCCTCACATTTCTGGAAACTGAGTCTGAAACACCTGTCATTCTAGAGAAGCAGGGGAGAGTATTCAAGTAACTTATAATGGCATATAGGGAATTCAGTTTAGTTTTTTGGTGTGATTGATAGTTGGCAGCATTTGACTCACATAACATCTCTTGCCACTCTGGGAGTTAATATTTTTTGCAGACATTCTTAGTCTTGTCTTGGCTCAATCCTCTGTCTCATTTACCAATAAGTAGTGTGGTTTTCACTGACATTTTTCAATGGCAGGGAAGAGCTGAAGAATAAATATGATGGGAAGTTGGAGAAGGAGATGTCTGGCCCAACCTATGAAGTCCTTGCCAAGGTCATGAAGGTCCTTGTCAACCGCAAGGTCACTGTTCCTGGTGCCTTCTCTGGGTAAGTTTGGAATTCCTCCAAGGAAATTGTGTTTAATGTTATTGCTGAAGATTGTTACAGTTCTAAAATTCCTTTCATGGGGGCCCAACACCTTATACTGTAAAACTCAATCATGATAGGCTCAGGTAATATGAACTTCTCCATCTATAAAAATGATATTATATACCAAACTGAATCCTTTAATGCTTAAAAAACATCCTATTTACCACAAACTCTTATAGCAAAATAATTGCATTATCTCCTTCCTCTTCCTTGTGACTGGGTTTTACTATTGTTTGTTTGCATGAGTTGCAGTAATGAAGTATCTTCAGTTTAGCACTGCATTTCTGCCTCACACAACAGTGGACACATACATGTATTCTGATACCAGTGCAGTTAGAAATTACTAGAAGGATCAACAATTACTCCAGGCCTGTTATTATTTTAAATAAATTGGAATTATTAGTTTGAAATAGGAATATGCTAAATGAAAGTAATCTAAATCCACTGATATTTGTGGGGTGGGTTCTTTCTCTTTAGCCTGAGTCCCCTCCATCCCTCTTAAGGCTTCATTCAAGAGGGAACTCAGGCTGAAGGAACTTCAATGAGCAAAGGTGTACAAACCTTTTTCCCCTTATATTTTAACTGTTTCTATTTCTTGACAGTGGTGTCATGCTATGCTAGAAATTGGGTACCTGAAGTTCATTTTTTTTCTAGTGGCACTACTGGTTTGGATAACTGACAAAAACAGTGTAATGAGAAAAATAGCACTGTGTCTCCATGGTGTTAGCTTATTATTATGAGTCAGATCAACTTGAAAAGTAATATTGACCAGGAGACAGGTGATAGTCTCATGGAGACTCTAATCTTTGTGCTGCAGCTCCCACTTTGATCTTATTGCATAATATACTAGTGTAGCATTGCTCCAGTATCATGAGGAAATCTTTCCTTGTTATCACATACCCCAAAATAACTCTTTTATAAGAACTGCCACTCAGTTAGCTTAGTGGTTCTGGCTTTGGAGAGCTTTTCCAAAATCGAAATGTGTAAGTATAGCCTTTGATTTCTCTCTTATCTTCTGAGTTTTACCATAAAACCATGGGTATCTAACTATAAGTTGGGATTTCATGAGACCCATCCAAAGGTTTTTTTCTGAATGCTCTAGCTTGACGAATGCAAATTTTTTCAAGTTGTGATGGCTTAAGGACGAACAAAGAGTTTCATACCTGCACCTCATTTTCATTTATTTCACCTGCAACTACCTTACCATAATGCTATCAGTTCAAAACCATGTGTAAATTCATGTACAGTATCACTTCTATTGAAGTCTGCCTGCAAAGCTGACATTTTTATGTCCTATGCACCTTTCCCTCCTGGAGGTCTCTGTCTTGGATCAGTTTGTAGGGACTTTCAATCATTTGACATTTGTCAAAAATACAAGTTTTGCTATATGAAATTACCATGTTTCACTTCAAATTAATATTTTCATCACAGACATTAGGAAATGCATATCCCATCACCACATTGACCATAGATCAGAGATCATAAATATGATCTCTGATCTCTGATTTGGGGTTTACCAATGGGCATCAAATTTTTTATATGGGTGCTCCCATTACCTAATTTTCTATACTGGTACTTGTTATTGCTTAGCTTTTATGGCTTCATTATTCATTCTCACAAAAGTATAGTTATTCTATTAAAGAGACATTCTTTCTGTCATCTATTTCAATAGCTCAAAGACCATTTATTGAGAGAATAGCTATAGGAGTTTATTGTATATCAGACAGCTGAGTTGTTTGTTACTTTCTCCACTCAGTTGACCGGTGACATTTTTTGCACCAGTTACAAAAGGATTGTTAAGATTTATATTTTGATTTGCATGATTTCTTGCAGGGTATCAGGCATGCCATGTGTGACGTGCTCATACAAGGCATCAGCAGGGCTCCTATACCCCCTGGAAAGGGGTTTCCTTTACATCCACAAGCCTCCAATTCACATTCGTTTTGAGGAAATTGGCACCCTCAACTTTGCTCGAAGTGGTGGAAGCACCAGGTTTGTGATTAAGATGTCTGATATTCTAGGCAAGAACTATTATTTTTATTCAATACGTTTTCTGGGATAAGCCTTAGTAAAATTCATTAGAGGGGGATTTGGTTACCTATTATGTTCGCACAGCAGTTAAGGTAGTCTTCTAAACTCATGTTGCAATGCATGTAATCTGTTGTCAATTGCCTCGCTCACATTTATAGTCTAATAGCCAAGTGTTTAATTTGTTTTTCTTGATTCTGTTGCTCAGGTCATTTGATATTGAAATTGAGACCAAGTCATCTGTGATCCACACATTCAGCAGCATTGGAAAAGAGGAGTATGGAAAACTGTATGATTTCATTTCATCGAAGAAGCTTCGCATCAAGAACCGAGGCCGACTAGTCTGGCTTTTTCCTTCCTTTTTACCTGCTCCAGTCAGCTCATGGTATTTTTGAGGCTCTAACTATGCTTTGTAGGATGCAGCTGCCTACACAGATGACCTGGTGAATTCAGATGCAGAGAGCGAGCCTGATGCATATCTAGCTCGCATGAAGGCTGAAGCAGATGAGGAGAGCGATGAGGGTGAGGGCGATGATGAGTCTGAAGAGGATGAAGATTTCGCTCCAGAGGATGAGAAGGCAGCATCTGATGTTGCTGAAGAGTATGTCACTAACTTGCTTCATACTTAAAAAGTTTTCAAATTTTGTCAATGTAAATCTCAGTGTAACTGGCACAATTTATTTCTTGTGATTTTTTTGTGCCCAAAATAAGATTCAGATTTGGTTTACTTGAAGATACTTGAGCTTTCAGCATCAAGAGAGGATGAAGAAATATACCCCTCTGTTGAGAGGATCCTGGCAGCAATCCAGAAGTTTAAGGCCAAATTTCGTTTTCTGTGCAGGTATGACAGCAATCCAGAGAGTAACTCAAGCAATGATGACAGTGAAGGGGGTGGTAGTGATGGGGAAAAGAAGAAGAAAAGGAAGAAGGAAAAGAAGAAGACAGTGTCAGAGAAGCCAAGGAAGAGGAGGAAGAAGGGAGGAGAGAAAGACGAGACAAAGCCTAAACGCCCCATGTCAGCATACTTCCGTTGGCTCAATGCAAGCCGGGATCGCATTAAGGAGGAGAACCCTGGCATCTCCATCACTGAGCTGACCAAAAAGGCTGGTGAGCTCTGGCGGGAGATGAGTGCCTCTGATAAGAAGGTCAGTTGAAAACAGCTTTAAGGGGGAGACTTAAAGCATTTTTTTTGCTTTGCTTTAAAACAAGTATGTAAAGAGTGCATACTCTTGAAAATAAGAAGAAATGAATCCCTAGGTTCTAGCTCATTCAGTGGTGCTTCCCCATAGAAATTAAAAAATCCAAGCATTTTGGTATGCTTCAAATCTGGACAACAGATAGATGGTTCGTCATCTCCCAACAGTTACACGTGAAATATTTACTAATTATAGGTGATTTTTTTCCTCCATAGAGCTTTTTATAGGTATCATGTTGGTGAAATCAGAAAGAAAAGGGGAATTTGCATGTAAAAGTCATTGACAGCTGTGATGACGAGAATATAAAATATAAAAGACAAGATTAAGGAAGTTTGAATGATATATTAATGAAAATGAATGTCCCCAACTAGCCATATGAAGAAAAGGCAGAAGAAGGCAAGAAGGAGTATGAGAAGGCAATGAAGGAGTGGAAGGCATCTGGAGGGGGAAAGGACAAAGGAAAAAGCAGTCCCTCGACCCCAGTCAAGGCTGGGAAGGCCAAGTCCAAAGTAGTAGAATCCCCTACCAAGGCAGGATCTGGCTCAGGTTTCAAGAGCAAGGAGTATATCTCTTCCAGTGAGGACACCTCCAGTGAAGATGACAGCCCAACCACTAAGACATCAGTAAGACCAATCAGATGATAGTGAAGATGTAAAGAGAACAAAGCATGATATCACAGGCTGAGCCCAGCCACAGAAGGGCAGAGGGAAAGACAAAACTTGAAATAGGTAGAGGAAGGAGAGTCATCTTGAGAAATAGATGAGTATTGCAGAATTGAATTTCTGAGTTAGTTTATGGGGCACAAAAATATGAACTACCCATTGGAATACTGCTGCTTCAGACTTCACTAAATTCTTACTGCAACTCACATGTAAGATAAAATTCACAATGATTTGGTTTGTATGCACATCACCCTATAGAATGTTCATTTTAGAACAAACTAGGGAGTTGCAATGTAAATTTTATTTAGTGACATGGGGTCCCTCTACAACTTTGTGCTGACTCCCAAAAATGTGGACTCCTTTGGAGTGTCTGAATTTTGAAATGCCACCTAGCCTATGACCATCCCCAGATCTATTGAGGAAGCCATTCAAATTTTGGTCAGACAGGGATTAGAGGCATGGCTGTGCATGAAGGACAGATAGACACAAACATTCTGAAACATAGTATAGATAGATAGATGTGATATTAATGCTTTTAGAGAAGCACAATAAATGAGATGGTTGTTTCCTCTTTCTTTAGATCTGTGATTAAGCTGCCTCTACTGTGTATGGCAACTCGTTTGAAGTTCACAACTTGGCTAAAATTTGTTTTTTTTTTTTAATTAGCTGTATCCCTTCATCACTCTTTGGTCACTTTGGAATTTTTATTCTGATGCTTTCTCTGTCAGTTTAATGAATTGTGAGACATTATTGGACCAATATTATCAACACAAACCATCAATATACAGGCTGTAGAAGGCATTACTGCATATGCCATGAGGTTAGTCCATCTTCTTTCCTCCTGCAAAGATTCAGAATTCATGGACCAACTCACTATGGTGAATTTCTGATAAGACTAGGAATGTTGTATTTAATGTTTTAAATGATTAATTTCTAACATGATTACATGTCCTAACTGGACATGATTTTCAGATACTTAAGTATTAAATTGCCCAGGGCACCTTCCATCATATGGGACATGAACAGTTTTTGTACCAATTCTCAAAAAATTATTTCCAACAGCTGCATTAACTGTCTTTGGATGGTCTTATTGCAGATTGACTTGTAGAACTTGGAGTCTTCTTTTTTTTTTTAGGCATCTGCCAAAGATGTGGCATCTTCCAAGGGAAAGAAGGACAAGGATGACTCAGAGGATGAAGAAGAAGAAGCTGAGAGCACACCTGATACAAGTGAAGAATCTGATGCTGACAGTGATTAAAATCTTCATTGACTCTCTTTTCTGTAATTTGAGTATCCATATACAGGTGTGAATGAATTGTTGCATGAATGATTTCACAATTTGAACAAAAAGTTTATTGGACACAGTCCAGAGAGACATATCTGCTCTAGACACTCAACCAATGGACAACACTTTCCATGCCACTGTGTGCTTGAGTGCGGTAACTACCTCATCTCTGTCTTGATTGGAATCATCCACCCTTGTTCACTTGCCCAACACCAAGGACAATCCCGATTAATAGTGCAGAAACAGTCAGACCTTGGGAGAGAACCCGTGCCCTCATCATCCTTTGGGACAAATTGTGTTGCCCTTTGTAGAAGCTGAACAATCCCATTGTCAACACACCTGCTGTTGCCAGGCATCCTTCATAGAATAGACACAAATCAACATGGAAACTGGATAAACTTCAAAAATGCACAATCAAAAGCATTTCTACTGATAATCCCTATGGGAGCTTTGTGACCATAGCTGGACAATTCTTCTGTGAAGATTGTCAATGTAATGAGTGCTCAGCCATGAAGATGATGTGACTTAGGTCTGCAAAAGTCTTTAAATCAATGCTCTGGGGTGCATAACACCACATGCTAGTCAGTCATGCATACATTTCAGAATTTGATTTTATATTAGCATAAATAACTCCAATTCAACAACTGCACTATTGTTCCTTGTCATAAGCAACAGGACTTACAATCGGTGACAAGACATCATTGGTTTTTATCAGGTATTAGAAAATTGAAATTCCAGAATCAAAATTTGCAGGTGGGTATGTACAGCATAAGTGATGATGGGACACAGCAGAGTCCAGAACACAGAAACGAACATGACCAATGCCATTCTGGAGAAGCATTTTTTTTCTTGTTTCACAGATGCTGACTTCTAACAGCTGCACCAGACCATTTATGGCTTCATATCAAGCCTCATGTCCTCCAGAAGGAAAAAAAGAAGAGAATACATTGCCATAAGGCAATTGCTTTTCATCTTTCCCATTATCATTTATCAATTAATACTGATTTTGCTGATCAATAATGTTCCTAGAATTGCAATCTTAAGACCCCTATTAAGTGTCATAGGGGAATATAGCCATACCCCAAAAGATCTTTTGAGTCTGCCATCTTTCATTCACAACAACCCAGCACTTTCAGAATATTAACGGGAATTTCTCAACCTACCATTGGAATCAGAAATTATTTTCATGAGAATAACAATTCAAGTCTGTGTAAGAAAGTACCACTCTTTCTCAAGTTTATACTCATTTCAATTCAATATTTAACCCAAACTTGAAATATAACATGACAAAAAAAAAAGCCAAACCCCCTGAGGAGAATTTCACCATATATGTCACCCACTGAAGGGACTAAGCATGTGGTTTTCAATATCCATCTGACAATACTTCATACAGTTCATCAAAGAGCAAAAATACTGGACTGCAGTGTAAGATAAATATTTATATTTTCCCGCAAAACTGAGGCGACAAATAGAAATTTCCCAGGAAGGATATGCAAGCTGACTAAACGGGCCGCCTGCCTGCGCCTCCATTCCCACGAACCTTGTTCACAGGTTCACAAGGGTATTCCTAGCCTGCTGGACTGAATAAAACAAATGAAGCAAAGAAAATGAAAAGTTCAGCATTGACGTAATTTAGACATTTCAAGGGAAACATTCCCTCCAATCTGCTTCTACGTGAAATGAAGAATGAAATGAAACTACTTGAATCTCAAGGTCATTGATGGGCAAATTTTCCTTGAAATTCAGGTAAAAGGCAATGGTCACTAAGTTGGAGCAATTATAAATGAAAATAGCTGCAATTGTAGCAATTTCTTTCAAGTGTATTTTATACTTAAATTTTTGTGAAAAATTAAGTCATCTGCATTATTTTATTACCAAACTAATAACTGTTATTGATATATCTGGGGGTGGATTATTAACTTGAAACCATGACTTTCCAGGTAGAAACTTTTTCTTAGCCAGTAGTATATGCTGTTTGCCATATTTACACTTTGCTAGGCCTAACTAGCCAATGATTATTTTTTCAAATTTGTTTAACACAAGACAAGCCACATACCGTAAATTAATCATGTAAATTGCTACTCAGAGAAATGATGAGAGCTTTTGGGCATATTTTGCTCATTTTTTTAGAAGACAGAAACCATAGCTTTCTATGTAAATACAAATAAAAAGTTAACACCAGAAGGACTGATTTCTCTTCTTTTATTTTATACTTCACTGAAAACTTTTGTAGCGTTCAAAATGAGAAGAGATTAAGCTTTCCATTGCTGAAGATTGCATAAAATTCAATGAACTCAGAAATAAGATATTGAAAGACGAAGTTTACATTGGCGAAATTCAAATATGCTAGTGAACCACTGTCAGCAGGCTGTATAAGAGAAACCAGCATTGCAAGCACAATTGCTTATGACCCACTAGTACACTGCCAAAGCATGGAACTCTTCACTCTATGACTGATTCTTGGGTGTTTGTCAGCAAAAATGCCTCAGCATTCATTGAATGAAAGAATCTTCCTGGCAATCCATCTCTCTCTCAAAAATCAGAGCAGGAACAGCTCAGTCAACAGTAGAAAATCTTGCTGTGCATCTGGAGTGTGTTGGTGTTGAGGGGCAAATCTTGAACAAGGGCTGGGGTGATGGTGTGCACATTTCTTTCTAATTTTTACTGTTCCACTCTCACTTTAGCAATTGATGATTATTATATGGTTTTCAGCAGAAGAAGGTTTAACCTCTTCTGTTTTTGACTGATACATTTGTTAAGTTCAATATAATAATAATAAATATTGATTTATTCCACTTTAACATTTTTTCAGACATTTGTACTTTCTTAGGTCACAGAATCTGAGGTATTTTCCATGCTCTTAAGAATATTATTAAATTATTATACAGGACACTGAAACTAAGTGTTTATTTTAGCACCATGTATACATAAAGAGATGAAGGGGGCATCATGAGCAACTTCACAATTTTTACTTAAAAAAAGAATGCAATGAAAAATGCCATCTTGGGGATGGGATTTACCAATTTGCTAATGATTTGGGTGGGGGGGGAGCACTGAATGAAGGGTCAAGGTGCATGTACCAAGAGAATCAGCAGATCAATATGTAATACCCAACAAGGACTACTATTACAATGTGAAACATTTGCATAGCTCTTACAAAATTATGGAATGAAAAAGTTATAGTGGTGGAAATACTGAACATTTGATGTCAAATATGGTATAGAGAAATGAGAGACAAGAACAGGAAAAACAGAACAAGTGATCACTGTAACAATAGGCCTAAACCAATAGTAAATCCATTGAAAAGAGCATTATTTAGATTTTACTCGTGTACTTCAAGATGGACTGCATGGACTGGAGCAATGGAATACATAACATCATTTGTCCAAGAATGATAAGTGCCACCTACTAATAAATAATAACAGGGACATTGATGAGACACTGGCAGCCCTTGCCTACCGATTTACTTCAGAGCAACTTTAGAGACGCAAGAGGGCTCCAGGGGCATTGTGCCTCCTGCCTCCTGAAATACTGAAATAAAGTATGTGTAGGAAAGTTGCGCTATCACCACGAGGAAGAATATTATGTTAGGAGTTGACGTGTGGACGAATCAATCACAAAAAAAGATGAAATGGCCGCTCAATGAAATCCCTAGGGATGACTACAGCTAATTCCATGTAATGAGGCTAAAATGGCAAACCGATGGGGACGAATGGATTTTCCTTGGCCTTCCGGACGAACTTCTCCTTTAACGACTCTTGCGAGGTATGCCGAGCATCGCGAATGGCCTCATTCAACTGTATCCACTCCAATTGCGTGATATCGGTCCCCTTGCTCTGTTTGTCACGTGCGCCACTCTCCGCTGCCATATTGCACTGAGGAATTGTTTGCCTTCTCACATAATAGAGGGCTCTGATCTTACCTCGCACATTTGTCTTCTTCCATCATTCCATTTGGGTTTCAAATTCTACATCTTATGCAGCTTGGATTGAAAAAAAGTTTTAGGTCTGATATTGAAAGCAGACAATTTCGAGTACAGGTATGACGGCATGGCTGCACAATTTCTTCCTAGAATCAGGCCCGTCCAGATGTTCCCAGAGGCCTGGGGCAAAACTAAACCGAAGGCCACTGTATGGTGCTGGATGGATAGCTGGATGGGCCTTTTGGGACCTTGGCATTTGGTCTCATTGGAGATTCGGGACAGATTGGCTCCCAACTACGACGGACAAATTTAGCCTCTCTAAGATAAACCTCGTGACAAAGCCGAGCGACGTAATCACTCCACCTTGTACGAGGTCTACCGACAGGTCTTTTGCCGGTCATCTTGGCCCGGAAGACTCCTCTTGGGAGCCTTTCAGGGGGCATGCGGCAGACGTGACCAAACCACCTGGCTTGAGACCTCTCGATAAGGAGAAGCAGCTGCTCGACGTGGAGACTCTCGCGGATGTCGGAGTTCCGCATCCGATCACGGCGCGTTACGCCAGCCACTCGACGCAAGAACCTCATTTCGGCAGCTTGTATTCGCAATCTGGTGCTTTCGGTCATTACCCAAAGTTCATGACCATAGGTGAGGGTGGGGAGATAACTCTTACAACACACTTAAAAACCGAGAGTTTTGCTTCCCGAGAAACTTCCGATCTGGTAACCACGGTTCGCCAAAGTTCCCGCAGAACTGCAGAAGCCTTGGAGATGCGGCTTGTCGATCTCGTTTCCGTATCGCCCGTCACTCGAGAACCAGACCCCGAGATACTTGACCTTCTCCACCTCTTCCAGTGAGATCCCACTGACATGCAGGGTGCACCGAGCAGGATTTCTCGAGAGGACCATGACCAATGTCTTGGAGACGCTCGGTTTCATTCCGGCCACAGTGCATTCGGAGTCGAACCGATCGAGCACGCTCTGGAGCTCCTGTCGAGAGCGGGTCAAAAGAACGGCATCGTCGGCAAAGAGAAGTATCCTTACCGCGACATCACCGATGTTGACCACCTCCAGGCCGAGGCTGCGCCTACAGATCCTGTCCATGTACACGAGGAACAGGAAAGGTGAGAAGACACAACCCTGCCGGAGTCCAGCGTGTACCAGAAAACAATCCGAACTCCTCCCGCTCACTCGGACGCAGCTTCTGCAATCGCTGTAAAGGGACTGAACGGCCCGCAATAGCTGACCCTTGATCCCATACTCCTGCAGGACTCCCCACAGTTTTCCTCGGGGTACACGGTCGTAAGCTTTTTCAAGGTCCACAGAGCACATGTAGACATCTTTGGCATACTCCCAATGTCTCAGAGGATCTGGTGGAGAGTGAACAGCTGGTCCGTGGTGCTGCGCCCTTCACGAAAGCCGCACTGCTCCTCTTGCATCACCCACGACTGCCCGAGCTCACTTTTCCAGCACCTTGGAATAGACTTTACCAGGTATGCTGAGGAGAGTGATCTCACGATAGTTCGTGCACTCCCTCGAGTCCCCCTTCTTAAAAAGAGGAACCACCACACTGGTTTGCCAATCCCTAGGTGCCGTTCCCGATTCCCAAGCAGCCTGACACACCCTATAAAGCCACGAGCATCCATCTGTACCCATTACTTTCAGAGTCTCCGCCCGGATTTCATCCACACCAGACTTCCCATTCTTCAGGCTAGCAATGGCCTGCAGAACTTTCTCCATGGTGAGACTAGTCTCCGCGCTGAGAGGCTCCAGGTCGGGTAGGTCAGTGTCCACTGTTGGTGGGTTTAAGAGCTCTTCAAAGTGTTCCTTCTTCCTCCGAAGTATATCCGCCTCGGCAGTCAACACCTCCCCGTTTCTGTCTTTGATGACCCGGAGCGCATGTTGCCTGCCTTGTCGTAACCTCCGAATGGTTTGCCAGAACACCTTGATGGCAGTGCTGTAGTCTGATTCCATTTGATCGCCGAATTCCTTCCACACCTCCTGTTTCGCTTTGGCCACAACACGAGCAGCAGTTTGTCGCGCCTCGGAATAGCACGCCCTAGAAGAATCAGACCTATTGGACATGTACGCTCGGTAGGCTACCTTCTTGGCAGTGACAGCCTCGCGCACCGCTGGTGTCCCGGCCCCAGTAGCCAACCTATCAATAGTCACCCTGGGCGCACAGTGACTATCGCAGTTCTGATTATCCTGGGCGACGACTGAGCCAGTATGGAGTACCCGAGCCGAACATCATGCTGGATTTGGTTCGTCTTGGTCACCCTCAACGGAAGTCCCTATAACATGGTTGGACCTGAGATACTGCGGCCTTCCGCATCACTGGTGTCCATTCTCCCAACGTGAACCATTGAGACACTTTTATTAAATCTCATGAGCAATTTCTCTTATGTACGGGTATATGGATGGATATGTGAATTTTCAAGTTTGATTAATGAGTTTCCCATAATGTTTGAATGTTCCACAGGCATTTCAAAGCAAGCAGCTCCTTGAACTGCGCAGATGACTCAATTTAACATTTGATTGGTGATGCTAAAACTTCGAGAATCTTGGTGTATATAAAATGGAAGAGGAGTTGGAATGGGAGGGAGGGAGGAACGCGAACCCTCTTCCTCCAACCATATGCGAGAAGAGGATCAGAGGTTTCCTTTCTCTTGGCTTCACCCCTCCCCCTCCACCTCACCCTCGCCCTCTCCCCGCACAATCAGTCCAGTCACGATTGACGACCGTGGGAGAGATGCTAAGTGAGCCCGAGCATTATTTTAGGATCTGTCGTCTCTAACGAACGAAAAATAAAGAATGTCTTCGGGAGGCGAAAACAACATTTTGCCTCCCTCCCCCACTGCTCTCACGACCGATCGGCCTCCTTGTGGGAAAAGCGTCATTTCATCTTTTTTTTTTTAGCATGCAGGAACTTTCCAGGACTTCGTTTCGAGGGAGAAATGGAAAGTACCGGTTCTTCATTAAAAGTCAATCACCCCCTTCTTAAGGCATTTATGTCAAAATTCGAAAGGCGAAAAGAGAGACCTCTCTCCTCGAAAAGACCGAAAATGAGTGAGGTTTGGCATTGGAAGTGAATATCGTAGAGTAGAATTCACGTTTCTCAGCTAGTGCCTTCAAAATCAGCGGACGAGGTATGAATTCATTCTTATCAGCATCGGCAACAGAAGAATGCATTCATGATTGATCAATGGTTACAGAGTTCCATCGGAAATCGACTACAAATGTAAAAAGCAATACGGCAAAAAAAATAACCAAGGATGATAAAAGTAGCAACGAGAGCTAAGAAAAGAAAATGGAATAATTATGGATCAGAGATTGACGCGTTGATTGACCCTAAAGAGGCAACTCCAATCCTTGTCGTTCTTCTGGCATGAGAAAGATGCAGCGTAGACCCCCCGTCCTTTCCCCTCTCGGTTCGAAGATCCGTCGAGGAGGTTCAGGATCTGTCGGAAGACACGAAACGGTAGACCGAGTGCTACCTTCCTCGACTGTGAAGGGCCGATGCGCTCGCTCCAACAAACCTTGTTCTTGAGGGTGTTGAAGGTGGATGGAGGGAGGAGGTCCGGGAAGGACTCCATCAACTTCTTCCAGTCGTTCAACGTTCCTTCCCCGCTCTCGCGAGAAGACCCAGACGTACCTAGCACCTGCAAACAAGCTTATAATTTATTATTTAACGCTCATCGTGGTTAAGCCCTCCACAGCCTCCATCACACTATTTCGTGGCGCAATGACTTCGAAGTCCGTCTCAGTCCGTGATGTGAAACCTTATTTCGTCTCCTCGCCCTTAATCAACCTCCTCATCTCTTGGCAATCATATCCGAAACGGGCAGGACCTGTCTAGTCGTGAGCCTCATTTCAATGACCATCGAGAAGAGAAAAAGTATGCGACGAGTAGGTAGAACGTGGGAGGAGAGTACAAAGACGTATAGCATTACCAGATAGGGGATTGCACGAGATTTGCAAGCTACCTCGTCTACGCTGCCATACGCATCGGACAACCGCCTTTCTCTCCGTTGGTGAACAATGAATTTAATGGATGGAACGAAGGTTGGAAGAGGGCAGGCGACTCTGGTTTATTACATCACACCCTGACCTCGTAGATAGGGCGATGTCCATGACCATTTATATCGAGGTACATGAAGGCTGACGATAGCTCGTCTTGCTCCGCTATGAGCATATTACANCAAAGCCGTAGATACGAAAATAGCTCACACCGTAACGAAAAAAAGGGAAGTAACAAAATAAACCTTAACTTTCCATTGAATATTATCTTCTTCCAGGAATGTCCAGATGTTTCTGAGAAGATCTGGGGGGATTCCCTCCCTCGTTCGTTTCCCGGGGGAATTCTCGGAATCTGTGCGTTTACAGGAAGCGAGCTCCGACACCAGATGACGCAAGATGACGCGCGCGAGATGACCACACCTGTATCCCTGGTAGAAGAGAGTCTCTCACCTGTACATTCCATGTCCTCTCATCTCCTTTTCTTCTAATCATAAAGCTCCTACGATTCCCTGTCTCGTCGAGCCTTTGATGGAGAAGAATTTCAATCGATCCTCGATCGCAGCGCGACAGGTTTTATAGAGGTCTGGCCTAAGCCAAGGCCGAAGGGGAAAAATTGTCCCTGAAGCTATGCAAGCTTAAGCACATTGCATGAATCCCGGTTGTGTCAACCCAGGAAATGCCGAGATGAAGGCTGGAATCCGGAGGAACAAACAGGCTGGCACTATGCCCTCTGGGAACGCCTTTGCAATCTGGTGTACAGGGTATTCAAGAAAAAAAGG